TAGACAAATGCGCACGATAATTTTCTAACTTTTAAATTCGTACAATTCCAACGATATACAAATGCATTACATACAGAACTGAGCTTTATATATTAGATTTTATTATATTAGTGAAAATAATTTTATCTTTTTTCTATCTACGTCAATGGTTTAGACCAGGGGTCGGCAACCTGTGGCTCGCGAGCCGCATGCGGCTCTTTTGTTAACAAGATGTGGCTCTCCAGCTCCTTGAACAAATACTAATAATCTTAATTAAAAAATAAAATATTTGAAATAAAAAAAAGTTAGTGGCTCTTTAAAACCAGGAAAATTTTGAAAATTGTAACTTTTGGCTCTTCCGCTTCAAAAGGTTGCCGACCCCTGGTTTAGACAGTTTCAATATTGTAGGTTATGTCTTGTTTATAACTGATAAACTATAACATTGGTTTCGAAAAAAGAATGATAGAATTGTAAAAAATGAAAAAAAAAGTCAATTTCTCTCTTTATTTGAAATTGTATAGCATAAATATATAGTGTTACAGATTATATTATTTTAATATTCATTATGTATCAAATTTTATAATCTACTCGGGACACGACATGAACGAAAATAGGCTTTTAGTTGATGTTAGCAATAATGATAAAGACGATTTTAATCTACTGGGTCTGTTGTGAATGGACTTTTGAATGAGTTTGAGAGTATGTGGGTAGTGGATTGTGTTTTAATAAAAGATGTTTAGGGTTTGAGAGATGAGTCTAGTGGGATTAATAAAAGATTCTAAATGCGTGACAAATCAAGTAAGGATGTGACGTGGGAGAGAATGTTTTGGTTGTTTGGTTGTTAGACAGTAGAAGTCAGTCTCAGTAATGTTCTTTGTCGAGTGAGGCTGTAGCAGTCTGTCGTGGATGTAGTAAGATATAGTCGTGTACAGGGGCGTAGCGAGGGGGGGGGGGCGGGGGGGGGCGGACCGCACTGGGTGACTCCATTTAGGGGGTGACACCAAGGAAAAAAATAGCAAAATATATAGAAAAAAACTTGAGGGGGAAGTGCAAATCGAAAGTTTGAAAGGGGGGGGGGGGGGGGTTGGTGCAAATGGAAAATTTGAAAGTTTGTCCCCGGGAAGGGTCGCTACGCCTCTGGGGGGGGGGGGGTGACACCAGTAAGTGCCGCACCGGGTGACACCCGACCTCGCTACGCCACTGGTCGTGTATATCGTGTGCAATAAAAAGATGAGAAATGTATCAACGCCGTCCTGTCTCATTTTCTATTGGGTCGTCGTTGTATTTGTACGTATTCATCCGAGCATCGACCCTGTCTAGATCCTCACTTCATAACTGGGTCGATGCCTGTTTTACGCGGCACCAAGTTTTATCGGGAATACCACTGAGACGTCGTGGACTGTGGTTTCTGGGCATGTGTAAAGATCCCTTTCCAAACCTTACGGTCTATGAGTAAAGTTGAGTTCATCTGTTTCTGTTACCTCCGAATATGAAGGGACAGTGTGGTCAGCATTGTGCTCAGTCAAATTTAATTTCCCTAACCTGGGTTATGTATCCATTAGAGTTGGGTGGACTCGGGGACGGTCTCTACTGACTTGAACCCGGATTCGAACTCGAGACTTACGGCGTAGCAGTCTTGCGTTCTACAGCTAGGCCATGCCGTCGCTTAAAACATGTTAATAACAAAGTTGCGTGGGAGTTTTTGCGTGTGTGTGTGTGTGTGTGTGTGCGTGCGTACGGTCGTACGTGCGTGTGTAAAAAAGAGATTTTTGAGTTAAAGTTTGCATGTGTGTGAAAGTGTGTTTGTGTATACGTTTATTGTTTGTGTATGGAAGTGGTTTTTTTAGTGTGTGTGGATGTGTAGTTTTTTTTGTAGGGGTTGTGGGTAACAAACATATGCGTCTGTGCTTTTAAAAAATTGTATAATAATACGCCGTATTATGAAATGAATGCCCTTAGCAAAATAATTCTTAAAACATAGAAGAAATAATTTTCATCTTTTTCTTTTTGATGTATATTTAAAAACGTGTTAAGAAATGTTTAATCTATCCATAAACGTAAATTTTCATAAAAGCACATTATTACTTCTCAAAACAAAAAATCCTCTGATAAATGTACTTGTACGCCATCAGAAAGAAAAGCAATATTAATTTTTACAGAAACCACGCGTCCCCCATGACGGTGCTGTCTCTGCCAGCTGCTTCCGCGCCAGTGTTTCTTCCAGACTTTTTTCTCCGGGGGGGGGGCACTTGAAATTTTCGGAGGGGCGGTAGACTTTCTTCGGGGGGGGGGGCGGACACTGTTAAAAGTATACATTTTCTATATAAATTATATATATTTTTATATATTATTATATATATTTCATTTCGTTCGGGGGGGGGCGGTAGAAATTTTTCGGGGGGCTTTGCCCCCCCCCCCCCCCGAAGAGATTCCTGGAAGAAACTCTGTTCCGCACCGTGGGCCTCCCTTGTTTTCTTTTTTCCTTGAGGCGTCTAGCTCAGCGCCATTTCTGCAATGTCTTCTGGATTAATTCTTCTTAAGACTTGTCCCAACCATCGCCATCTTCTTTATTCCATTACTTCGGAAACTGCTTCCATTTCCACCTCTCCCAGTAGTCTATCATTTGAAATGATGTTAGGCCAGTGCAGTGTATCGTAGTCGGCACAATACCCGCCCATTATTCTTTCTTTAAGGCAATTCAGGTACCCATCAGAGCTGGGTAAACGTTATGACTTTCTACTGACTTAACCCGGATTCGAAATCAAGATTTTCGGGTTAGAAGTCTAGCGCTCTACCGCTAGACCAAGCCGTCTGAAAATATAATATTAACGGAAACATATCGACTTCTCGCTATACATACATCTTATCTAGGGAATGTGAAACTTTTTGAGTGGAATGACATATAAATAATGTTTACATTTTGTATCAAAAGTGGAAGGACCCGATTCGATTCAGCCCTGATGTAGTTCCCACCATCGGCAAAGCCACCTTGCAGAAAGTCTCTGAGCTCGTGAGCAAAGTACAGTCTGTACTAAAAGATTTAAACAATGGTAAATAGTAAACACATTGTCAATATATATATATATATATATATATATATATATATATATATATATATATATATATATATATATATATATATATATTATAGGTTATTTCCGTCTCGATTACGCCGCAATTTTGATAAATCTACATTTATAATTTTTGCCCGATAAAAATAAGCCTCTTATATTCCGTATAATATGATGAAGTACTGGTGTGTAGAACGATGAAAACTGTCAAAAATTTCATGTGATTTTTGTGCAGCATTACAATACTTTCTCTATAGGCCTACCAGAGGCGTAGCGACCCTTCCCGGCGCCCGGGGACAAACTTTCAATTTGGCGCCCCCATCGGGAGCAAATTGTCAATTTGCATCCCCCTCAACTTTTCGATTTGCACCCCTACCCTCAAACTTTCGATTTGCACCCACCCCCTCAAACTGCAAAAATGCAGCTAAAATGACATTTTAATTTGTTTTTACAACCTATTTTGGCGCCCCCTAAGGTCGGCGCCCGGTGACATATGCCCCCACTGCCCCCCCCCCCCCCCCAAGCGGCTTGTAATTTTTGTGCACGATTACAATACTCGGTATACGAGAACGTAAAAAGAAAAAGCCTTTCAATATTATATATATTTATAAGCAGCAGCGAACATGTGTTCAGACAATTCTTAAATTCTATTTTTAAGTACGACCACATTAATTGTTTTTATCTTTTGGATAATTAATGATAGATGGCCCTTTACAGCCCAAGGGGCCAACTATACAAAACATTTCAAATAACCATTTCGAAAACAAACAACTAAATTAAAATGTTTCAGTCAAAACAAAACAAAATCCAACATTTTAGGAATATGCATTATGAATAGTTCCTTTAAAGCTTAAATTCTATTTTTAAGTACGACCACATGAATTGTTTTTTTTTCTTTTGTATAATTATTGATAGGTTACTTTTTATTTTTTATTTCAGGCATACCAAAAGACATACTTTTAGAGTTTCCAAAGATTTGGTTAGTTTTAGTGATTTTGTAATGGGATCTCTAACAGTCAAAGGTAAATGAAAACAAGTTTTAAATTAAACGTAGTACATAGTTCATTTATGTGTCTGGTAACCAGGGGTGGAACTACAATGCCGCCAGACCCTGCAATGCGGGGGGCCCACGCCATATAGGGCCCCACCGCCGACCATGATAATTTTTTGTATGGTTAAAAAAAAATGTCTTGCATTTTTGACTTGACGGTTGTTTTGTAAAAAAAGATTACCTTAGCTGCGGTTGGATTATCTTTCTTCTATAGACACCACCCCACGTTTTTGTATATTCTTTTTCCCTTTGTTTTTAAACCACTGCGAAAGCCGAGTCCTCTTTCTCCTACAATCAAACTTATCAAAGATAAGCAATCGTTAAAACCACTTCCATGACTTATCTCCCTTTCTAAAATAGTGCCCATAAGCTCCTTTTAATAGATTTTTATTAAACAAATTAAAAAGCAATTACTTCTCTTAATTATTTTTTTTTTATAAATTACTTACTAAATAATGACATTGTATAAAAAGGAAAGGTATTTAAAATTGATAATATAAATACAAAAAAAAACAAAAAATAAAAATAAAACGAGACACCATTACTTATACAAAGCTTTCATGGTTTATATTCTTTTGACCGACTTGAGGTTGCGAGGTCTTATAGCAGAGATAAAATAAAACTAATTTTCAATAAAGATACTAATGCGCCTTCACACGACATGATGTTGTACTTTATTTTAATTGAAAAAAAAAACAAATTTGTTCTAACACCGAACAGGCCAGCAATGAGTATCCTATGTTCGTATTTTGTGATTATATATATATATATATATAATATATATATATATATATATATATATATATATATATATATATATATATATATATATATATATATATATATATATATATATATAGATATATATATATATATATATATTATACACATGTTCTCAGTTTGGAATTTTCTTTCCACCAGGAGATAAAAGCGAAATGGACGAAATCAAAGACTTGATAGTGAAAACAATGCAATGGAAAAACTCACGTAAGATTTTTTTTCTTTTTATTTTTGTCAGTAAGTGATACATACTAAATTTAGTCTTTCACTGTATTTAAATTGTATAAAATATTTATAAAATGAACAGCATCTTATTGTATCAAAACTTTAAAATGTTTCACTTTTTTTTTATGAATTAAAATAGAAATAAAAATGTAGGCCTACTTTTCTAGCGTCAACAGAGCCAGAATTATTATTTTAAATGAGTATTTGGAAATATTGAAAAAAGTACAGTCATTACATAATATATTACTTTTTTGTTTGTTTTACCAAATAACAAATATTGTAACAGAAAGTAAAGAAATGAATAAAGTGCAAGTTGAAAGGGCCATCAATGTTTGGAACGATACTACTCTTTCTATTGACAAAAACAAAGGTTGGAGACAATACTAGCATTACCTTATGAATACACGTTTATATATATATATATATATATATATATATATATATATATATATATATATATATATATATATATAGAGAGAGAGAGAGAGAGAGAGAGAGAGAGAGAGAGAGATGAAGCCCATATGTAGTGTAGTACTATATTACAGTTATCACAGTTACTCTTTAAATAAGACCTTCTTATGACGTCTGGATTTTATTCAGTGCAGAAATAATCTAAGAAAATGTTGAATGCTTTATTTGTTCACATATTCACACATCATACAGCAGCCCTAGTCCCTAACCGCTACTAACGTAAAGCTCCTTACAATTGTTCACTCCAGCTTTTATACCCGCAATCGATCTTGGGATAACAATACCTAAACACCCCGGGGTTAACTCAACTGACACACACCCCTTCCCTACGTTCTGGACTACTCTAGCGCAAACTAATCTAACCTACAACTGAACCGTAACACTTATTATTACACGCAAAAAAAAATTTAACTGACTTTTCAATTATTTTTTTCTTAAATATCTTTTCTCGACAGACAAAGCGGAAGAGATCGAGTTGTATAAGTTACTTTTCGCTTTGAGAACTTCTGCCAGTGTGATCCAGGACACAATACAAATGCTAGGTAAAGTTAATTTCGTAAAAATTAATTCTTTTCTAATAATACATTTCTTAACTAAAACTAGAGTGGAAGTCATATATATATGTGTATTTTACAGCGTGTATGTTAAAATAATATTTATAATAAACGGAGTTTCTTTCAGACATCCCACATACTACACAGTAGACAAAACGAAACATAATTGTTATTAAAAAAATATTACTTAAAGTCCCCCTTTTAAAGTTTTAAGTGCCTCAGCTTAGGAGAAGAAAAAAATCAGGAAAAAAAATATTGTCCGTTTCTTCAAGGAAACAAGTAATTAAAAAGTCTAGTGACAATTTTAGCGCAATTTCCTTATGTTATCTAAAAATAGCTTGTCGTAGCGTAAATCAAGAGCAGGGTTAGTAAAACCATTGGTTAGTTATTAAAACGTTTTTTATTAATTTTTTTCAGTATTTTACATGTTTTACTTACAACTAGCCGTCCCGGCCAGGCCCTGCTCTGGCTTCTGTGAAAAACCTTTCTGTTAAAGACCATTACCTGTGTGTTTAGTAATCATCATAAACCCGGCATTGCCCACCCAAACCACAACCAACCAAAAACAACAAAACGCAAACATAACGCTAACACAATTACAAATACAAACGAAAACAAAAACCTAACAACAAACCCAACCACAACCACAAACACCAATACAAACACAAAGAAAAAACAAACAAAAAAGCAAACGAAAACAAAAACCTAACAACAAACCCAACCACAAACACCAATACCAACAAAAAAAAAAACAAAACGAAAAAGCAAACGAAAACAAACCAAATCCAAACGCAAAACCAACCAAAAACACAAATACAAACCCAAACAAAAAACACAAACAAAAACGAAAAAAGAAAGAACGAAAACAAACCAAATGCAAACGCAAAACCAACCAAAAACACAAATACAAACCCAAACAAAAAAAAACACAAACAAAAACGAAAAAAGAAAGAACAAAAACGAACCAAATCAAAACGCAACCACTAACGCAAACCCACCTAAACACAAAGAAAACACTAACGCGAACATAAACGCCCGGGGCAGAATCGCCTGTTTTAGCTTAATAAACGACTATAGTACCTCAACTTATTCATAGTTTTTGCACTCACTTAAACGAACGCGCCTGTTTCAATTTAATGAACAATTATAATACTCCAAGCTTATCCGTAAAATACCTAAAACATTTGCACTTGATCAATCCCCGCTAATTATGTAATTATTTTTTTCCCAACACCAAAACAAAGTAATTAAAAAGTAAATGCTTTTCAACTAATGCAATGGTTTTATAAAGGGAAGTAATTGTGTTTTGCCTAATTTATCAAAGGGAAGTAAGCGCTATAGGACTAAATAAAGACATAATTAGAATTTTTGTAAAAGATGATATTTTTTTTAAAACTTGCCGACAATTATTACTATAATTTGAAAAATGAAAATGATTTCCCAACACTTTTAATAGTAATTTTTTAACTCATAAATTTAGACAAATGCGCACGATAATTTTCTAACACTTAAATCCATCTATAACCAGCGACAAACAAATATATGCGTTACAGAATTGAGCTTTATATATTAGATAGAGTTACATGACTAAAAACCATTGCGCGCCTACTGAACGTGATGGCGAGCCATGGAACGCGATGGCGCAGCTATTGAACGTGATGACGCATGTGGTGTGGTTGGAAAAAATGCCTACTAATTCGGTCCAAATTTTAATTAATTCAAAAAAAATTTTGTGACCGAAAGAAAGGATATTTTTGAAAACTTTCTTCGGCAATATTGTTCTAAATTATGGCAGGAATCGATTGGTACATGTTTCAAGTCGCTTAGTGGTCTGGTTGCCGAGATATGGGCCAAAAACTGCATTTTTCGAGGTTTTTTGGCTTTTCCGGGAAATCCATGAAAGAAACCCGTAATTTTTATGGCCTATGTTCATCCTCGTAACTTGCTTAACATAATTGCTTTTAGAACTAGTCATCGATATTGCTTCGTTGAGGAGGAGATACGACTTAAAGCTGCGGACACACATCCATCCATACATCCAGAAATGACGGGTTAATAAACGCAATTCTCCAGAATGGAAATTGCGCTAAAAAGTGCATTAAATAAACCGGTAGTGATCTCCCCTAAACTTTCTCGAATATTCTTATAGAAAACAACATGGGATGGTAACTCGGGATATAGTTAAGATTTTTAATCCATTTTAAATACTTAAACTTTTAAAAATAGAATAGAATCATGTAAAAAAAGAATTGCGCACCAAGCGAACGCCGAATAAATATGTGTATAATAGTGCGGAATATTATTAGTACTTTATAAATTCACATGCGTTTTTTGAGAAACCGGAAATAGCGTAAATTAGTATTTCCGGTCAACGGAAAATACTCAAAATACAACAGAAGTTAGTTAGATATATAGATCTTTTACTTACATGTGAAATTTCATTTATCTATCTGAAATAGTACTCAAGTTAAATGCTTTTGAAAAATTCAAAGTAGAAAAAGTACCACTTCCGGTTATCGGAAATCGCTCAAAAGTTGATAATGATCTACGATTTTGATAAAATACTTATATATAAACTTTCATCAACCTAGCTGTAACGATACTCAAGTTATTTTGTTTACACACACATATACAGACACACACACACACACACACAGGCATATGGACAAGATTGCAACATTATGTTTTTCCGCATCAGTGAGGTGTAAGACGTCGAGATTTGTAAAAATCTCGATTTTTTTTTTGCACGATTACAAGACTTTCTCTATACTTCGTATATACGAGAAAGAAAAAAGCGGAAAATAAAAACCAAACCAATTGCTATTTACAGTACAGGATATCTATTTAAAATATTTAAATATTTGCAGATGAACCCACAATTTATAAACCTACAGTATACGATGGCACAGTTTTTGAAAGTAAGATTTATTTTATTTTATCCGAATTTTCGTTTCCCTTTCTTTCTCCCGCTTGCTGCTCGATGCTATGTTATGTTTGCGGGTCGAAAATTGATGCAAAAGTTTGAAGCTTGTTAGTGAATAAAAAATGTTTTTTTTTTAAAGAAAAAATTGTTAAAATATAGGCGTTGGTGTGGTCGGCTCGATAACATTATGAATGCTAAGTTCGAACCTCGGGCAGCCGGGTCGGCGTGGTCGAGTCGGTATAGCTCATGGTTGCTAAACCGAAAAGTCTCGAGTTCGAACCCTCGGGCAGATGAGACAACTCCAAAATTAAACAACTGCTGCCTTGTAGTTTGTTCTTAGTTGGACAAAGGCTATGGAAGCAAAAATCCAAAAAGAAAAGCAGGCTGAAATCGGAGTCAATGGCCTCAATGGCGCATAACCAGTTGACACGTAACGCTTAATTGTGTTGGAGGCGTGGTCGAGTCGGTATAAAGCTCAAGGTTGAAATATTCGAACAAAAGTCTCGAGTTCAAACCATCTGGCAGATAAATCTCGAAGAAGAAAGAAGAAGAATCCTCGGGCAGATGTAGTTCCTTAGTTGGGGGAAAGCAACCTATCTTGGATGGACAAAACAATGGCTATGACACCAAATCTTAAAAGAAAGGCAGGACGAAATCGGAGCCAACGTTCTATAGAGCGCTTAACAGGTATAATGTAATATTTAAATAGGGCTGGTAAGTAGGTGTTGGACAACACGACATTGCAAAATTACAAATATGAACGAAGAAAAAGATGGTAAAAAAAGCTTCAATAGATAATTTAACATTTTAATTTTTTATATTTATATATATAATTTTATACTTCCAGGAGTAAAACCAAAGCGAACAATATATTGCTTAGGGAAAATTGTTTGGGGAAAGTGTATAGGAGTCCATGTTTCATAAACAAGCATATTTCCTGGTCGGGTTTACAGTAAGTTAACGATAATTATTTAAGTAGATTAAGTAGATTAGTATCGAAACCGTGCTTTTTGTATTATGATAGCATATTCGCGATAGTATACGTGTATGCATGTACTGTTACTGATGTACTTGGAATTATAGGTGTATATATATATATATATATATATATATATATATATATATATATATATATATATATATATATATATATATGCCTATAATAGCTACGCGCGTGTGGGCCGGATGCGGCCCGCGAAGTCCTCTCATCCGGCCCGCGGAGATCATTTTGTCCAAGAAAAAATCGTTTGTTGGTGATAGCTGAGGAACTTTGGCCAGAAAAACCAAAGACATACCTGGAAGAAACTGGCCCCCGAACGGAAATTTGATAGTTAATGCGGCCCTTGGACTGAAAAGTTTGGAGACCCCTGCATTTGTGCAAATATCGAAATTTCTCCAGAAAGCCGTGAATCCGTCATTATAAGTGTTAGGCTCATTCTTTCTAGCGCGAAACGCATATAAACAATAAACATTATTAAATAAAACGTCAAAAAATATCAATGGTTTAGAGCCATTCTTTGTGCGATTTACTAAAAAAGTTCAGTAAACAAAATCAACTTAAGAGCGACTTAATAAATGGCTTAAGTCTATTTAACGCTTGATTCGCGAGTTCGATTATTGATTATGCTTGTGAAACTTAACTGAAACAACAAACAGATAGCATTAAAGCTATAGCTGAAAATAATTATTTATTGTGTTTTTATAGACATACGTATAAAATCTAGAATCGAGTTTTTCCGATAGACCAGTCACCTTTAACTCTAAGCGAAGCCCTGATATATATATATATATATATATATATATATATATATATATATATATATATATATATATATATATATATATATATATATTTATATGTGTATATATGTATATATATATATATATATATATATATATATATATATATATATATATATATATATATATATTGTACATATTTTTTCAGATTTTAATTACAAAAACAGCGCTGAACACGCATAATAATTAATACAGTTAGGATTTTCAGAAGTAAAACAACATCCACAAGAAACGTCTCCTGTTCGGAATATCCAGTTTGGTTTTTACGGTCATGCCTTTTACACACACAAATAAGTCGAAATTCTGTTTAATTTAAAGTACTAGATCGATATTCGTCCCCTCAGTATTATCTTGTTCTAACTACAAATTTTGATTTTTTCGAAAAACTCGACCCTATGATGTAGAAAAGCACTATGTTCAATCTCCACTTATCTACGTGACTCTAAGTCATCTGCTTCCTACCTAACTTTTCAATTTGACATTGTTCTAACTACAAGTTGATGCATTTGGCCAGTATAATATTGTTCTATGTCAATTTTATAATATGATTCTGTTCTAACAGTATATAATCTATTTAAAATTAACGCATACATTTTCCTTGGATACGCTAGAATTATAATGTTCTATGTCCGATTCTGCCAATGAAATCAGCTGTTTAAGTCATGTGACTTGTGCGTCGTTGATCAAAATGGCGGCGTGTGAACACCTTTTAGTCGATTTTGGTTGTCATGCAAATAAACTGACTGAATTACCAGATCCTGAATCGTAAGTATATTTATCTTTTATATGTTGTCTTAACTGTGTTATTTTACACATATTTAGTTCAAAGTTTGTTAAAATATCTTAATTAATAATAGTCCTAATATTGTTAATGTATACCGTAGTATACGCCTATACTAATTGTATTGTTTAGTAGTATAGTAGTTTAATAGTATCTGTAGGGTTTACTTTGTTTTTAAAGCACTGTCGGCGAGTGTTATTTTTGCTTAAACTGTTTTGATTATAAAAATAAAGTTTATGTATTTTCTCAATATTCATTATTACAAGTTCTTGTTATTTTTTATTTTTCTTTGTTTTTTAAACGGCTCATGGTGTAGAATAAAATTAAAACATTAAAATCTATTGAAACTATCTATTGACTTGTGAATTCATTTTATTAATACATTAAATCAAAATTATGTATGCAAAAGCATACTTACAACTTAAAATATTACTTGTTCTGTAATGTAGTGCAAAAAATATTTTTTGCACATTGCGTTAATCAAAAATATTAAAGTAAAGACCAGGAACAATAGAATAGAAAACCAGAAGACATTGCTCATACAAAAAGTAGATAATACTTCTAGAAAAGCTATTATAACTGCCTAAAAAACACAAAATTTGACTTAGAACATTATACAATTTTTGAAACCTGATCACTTTCATCGTATTTTGTTCTATCTCAAAAGTGAAAAATAATTATTATGATCTTCTAATGGTACATAAAGTAATAAAAATGACTTGGATGCTCATTGCTTAATGCCCTTTAACATTTTATCTAAAAAAAAATGAATTGGAACAATTTAAATATAAGAATCAGACCACATGAAACTTCAGATGCGTTTTTCTCAAAACGACATTTTGAGAGATAGAACAAGATAATACTGAGGGGACGATAGCCTACTATAATAAAGTTGTTTAACCCATACCATTCCTTTTGTTATTTGTGTTTAGGTTATATTTGGATAAATTGGCTTTTATCGAGGTGACAAATACAAAATAGCGTGTTTTGGGTTGGCTAAAGTGTAACGTTGTTGTAGCTGATAAGAGGGGGGGGATGGGCGGGTAATGTGGGTAGCAGAAGCTTCCTTGTTTTACGATGTACGATTGTCTCGAAGTCGTGAAGTCTTATGCAGTGGCGTAGCGAGTTTGGGTGTCACCCGGTGCGGCACTTAATGGTGTCACCCCCCAGAGGCGTAGAAACCCTTATCGGGAACAAACTTTCAAATTTTAGATTTGCACCCCCCTCTCAAACTTTCGATTTGCAGCCCCACCCCTCCTCAAGTTTTTCTCTAAATATTTTGCTATTTTTTGCCTTGGTGTCACCCCCCTAAATGGTGTCACCCGGTGCAGTCCGCACCCCCCGCCCCCCCCCCCTCGCTACGCCTCTGGTCGTATGTCTAGTATGACACTAGCTATCGGTACCCGCTACACGGGCTATTCTGGTGAATTTTAGCTCTCTGCTCTGTACATACATATAGGCTGCCCAGTTTTTCTTTTAAATATGTATCTCCGTGTAGCGGCACTTACAACTTTCTGGTGAAGGGAGTAGCGTAGCGAGGGGGGGGGGGAGGGGGAGGGCGGGGGGGGGGGGGGGACATATGTCCCCGGGCGCCGACCTTAGGGGGCGCCAAAATGGGTTGGAAAAGTAAATAGAAAGGTTGAGGGGGGTGCAAATCGAAAGTTTGAGGGGGGAGGGGTGCAAATCAAAATCTCGAAGGGTCGCTACGCCTCTGGGTGAAGGGAGTTAGCGGATACTGTTTTTCTATATTTATGTTTAGATCTATATTTAAATTAAATCGTTCATTTCTTCGTCGTTAACCGTCAATTATAGCAAATGTTAACCTTGTATGAAAAATGTATTTTATATTTTTTTTATTAAATATTTATTGGTCAAAACGCAATGTGCTTTTACTACACGTTGAACGATATTAGTGGCAAAGCAAAGAAATAACTAAATATCTAAAAAATCCGACACATTTTAAAATAGAAACTTAAAATTAAGAGATTTAAGTGATGTCGTTGAAAACTAGGCTGTTCAATGCTAGTTATGTTGTTTTTGTCTTTTGAAAACACCTACTTTGGCTGAGCATGGGTCTGACCACACAATCGCTTCATCTGCCCCGTGTCCCGCCAACCCCGGATGGGCAACTTTATCTATTACATCTAAAATGAAAAATTGAAAAAAAAATATTTAAGATTGACTTAGTGTGTCTCGAACCAATACCACCTGCATGGTAACTATTACACTATCATCTCAGCGATTTAGTCGCGTTAGTTTAAATGATGAATAAATGGGGTATTTAGAAAACTTAAGTTATGCGAATAGGCCCTATTATTTCAAATGAAATTAGCCAATTTTATAGCTAAGCAAACAAAGATTTATATAAAAAATCAAGGCCTGAAATAGTTTAGTATAGCAACTAATTATTGGCGTACGTCTTGATAAGTAGATCTAAATCAAATTTGAATGAAATCGTTCATTTCTTTATATTTTAAATTGGAAGATGACGCCATTAGTTTTGTGTTATTTCCTTCATGTGACGTCATTGTTTCTTACGTTCTTGTCACGACAATAAACGCTTTAGTTAGAAATCTGATTTACTTTCGAATATGCCTTTATTTTTATTCTTTCAATAAAATTTAGCTTATACATTTATACCGTCTACCATATTATTTTCAACAAAAGTCCGTATCTTTAAGTTCTCCATATATCGCTGAACTGGCTGACGACGATGCCAAAAATTTTGCGGACAGAGAGAAGTGCGCACATGGGCTTTTATATATTCGGATATTATGTTGATCAATTCATATTTTACGCTTGAAAAAAAATTACGTTCATAAATGAACTATGCCAAACAATAGTTTTATGTTTAAAAAAAAAACATAGATTATAAAAAATTTAGCTGATTGACGTTGCGGATGGCGTGGTCGAGCGGTAGCGCTCTTATAGATTACAAGAAGTACATCAGATGTCTCCGAGATTATCCAGCTTGAAAAAGTATCCGATTTAAAATAAAGTATTGGAAACAAACAATTTAAAGTGGTGCTGGCCACACAATCCCTTTGTAAATAGATAAATCAATAGATAGATAAAAAATATATGAACACTAAGCATCTTCTCATTTTTTTCTGTTTTTGCTCAAGACACATGGGCCGATGATGTAGAGTTCCTCTGTTTAAATGACCTCGGCTTATGATAGCGTGACCAACACTATGCCCAGCCGCCCGTGTTGCCCAATTGTCAGTTATGTAGGCTACCCAATGATGTTCTATGTGAGAATGACCAGACTTTTGTTATTATGTGTGACGTAATGTTGTAGGGATCCTTTGGAAAGTGGATCATCACTCCAATGTATAAAACAAAAAAATTAATTTAATTTTAAA